CTCAACGTTCAGAGGTCGCCCCGTAGGGTACCCGATTACCCGACTCTTACTCAAGCCACAGTAGTCGCACAGTTCCGCGACTATCATGTTGAGAAATTCTCTGGGCAGGGAAATCCCCGTATCATGGGCAAGTGGATTCAGAACCTTAGAAAAGGATTAAGTTTAAGAACTCTAGATTCAATTCTAGATTTATTCAAGTCAAGTTAGCAACTTGTCAGAAGATTTGTAAGAATTGTGCTAAACAAATCTTAAGAATCATGTTTCTCAGATATTTTATCGAGAACTGCCATTTTGTCAATCAATTGGCAGACTCCAGGGAGAAATTCCTTGATTTAATTCGAGGAATAGACTCAAATTTCCTAAATCAGATCAGTAAATCATGTTGAAGGCAAGAATTTTTCATGTTAAAGGTTGTTATAATTCTCAAGTCATTGTTAAGGTAACGGTTTCCAGTGTATAAGAGTCAATAGTCCGGGTTACCATGGAGGCTTGAAATAATAGCCATTCAGTCGGGTATACCATGGAGGCTTGAAGCTGAAACCGGAGCAGTATGATTTCATGTAATAACAACCTTTCAAGTCAGTCATGTCATTTTATCAGGCATGATATTTTAAGTCATGACTTTCAGAGATCAAGATCAGCTAATTACTTTGTACTTGCGGGACCAGTTGATACTGGAGCAGCCCTATACAGTACAGAGTTCAGGTTCACGATTTACAGTTTATGTTCATGATGTAAGGTCGGCGTATAATAGTTATTCAGCCGGGTTAAATGTGGCGGTCTGAGATACAGACCATTAGTCCAAATTATACGGAAACTTGAAGTCGTACCTTATCAAGTCAAGTAAGTAAGTAAATATCATGTTTTCAATCTCGAAGCGACTATTTAAGTTCCAAATTATCCGGAAACTTGAAGTCGTACCTTATCAAGTCAAGTAAGTCAGTAAATATCATGTTTTCAATCTCGAAGCGACTATTTAAGTTGTCTCGGGATAGTTTTCAGAGTTCGAAAAGATGATTCAGTCATGTGAGAGTCAAGTCATGGTTATTCAGTCATGAAAGTATTCAGGCCAGTCATGTTAAGATCGAGGATAGTTTGTCTAATAAGACAAGACTTATCCATCATATTCAGTATGTCAGCGCCCCGATTCTCAAATTCTGAAGAATCTGAGAAATCGGGGGAGATATTCATTCATGATGGACTTCTTCTTGAGGTTAAGTTTAACCTCGAAAGGAGTAAACAGTTGCAGGTACCACAGGTTGACATACGCCGTGACGAAGAAGGGCCAATCGACAACAACGGATCGTGCCATGATGATAAACCGACGCTTTCCATTCAAAGATGCCATGCTTGAGTCTCAGTACACTGGTAGATTACAGAGAGTTATTATTAAAAAGTACATTGAGGTTACTAGCTTGAGGTATAG